TTGTATGTTGGGGTAGAACTTGTTGGCCTGAGTGCCATAATCTGTTATACTGCTTTGTGTTGTCCATCCCATCCCAAGGTTCTCTAAAAATAAAGACCTGTGACTTATGTTACTGTCTTTTTTGGAGCAGCATTCAGTGCATACTGTCTGTCATCTTGTTTCTTTTCTAAATGTGTTGATTGAACAGTGGGTGGCTAGGTAATGTCTGTGTTGGCACAGAATTCAACGGCTGATTTAAAAAAATATATATGTATGCAAAATATGCAGAGATGTAAGCCATCCCATGAAAACTTCTCTTTACCCTGTAATTCTGTTTTCTAAAAAGCGTGCACTTTAATAACTTATCAGAACAAAGATGAACCCCATGAATGGCAAGCTATTTACATAACTCTGAATTGATTTTTGATCCTTGTCGAACATCCATTTTTTACTAGTTTGGATTGGTGCAGACATTCTATTTATGTGCTGCTCTTCCATAGAACATTATTTTTTTTATAGTGTATAATAATTTGATAACAGTAACTTACATTTCAGTTGCATTTTACAATTTGCAAAGCTCTCTGTCTGCCTTATCTTAGCTTCCAGTTGTATTATCCTGCATTGTGTTGCATGAGGTAGGGCTGCATAAAGAACAAGAAAAACCCAGCTCCAGATACTGCTTGACAGTTCCAAACTATGGTACTGTATGTGCTTTAACCTCGAGGAGCCTACTTCCTTCTCCGTGAAATGGGCAAGAAAAAGGTGAGATGAGTGTATGTATATAAAATGCCTCATTGCGCAGCACCTGATATATACAGGAACTAAATAATGTTAATTTCTATTTTTTTTTTTGCAGTTATAAATTATGAGCACTAGTTTTCAAGATTCTTCGTGACTCTTCATTTTTTTGATGTGTTTTTGTGTGGCTCACAATTGATTTTTTTTCTTACTGTGATCCAGTTGTTCTATAGGAAGACGGTTTCATTACTTTAGCTTGAAGGAAGTGTTAATTATTGAATATACCTTGATTGACTCATAAGTTTCCAGATTTAGTGTAAAGTTCTCAGTTATTTTGAAACTCTGGTTCCCCAAAATTCAGAGGTGATCCCTCTTTTCCACCAAAATCTCAAGAATAAAACCTCAGTCTATGCCAGTAGCACACATGTGAGCATATAGTTGTTTCAGAGGAGGAAACAAACCCCTTGAACTATTATTTGTCCTCTTACTCATACCTGTGAGTGTCCAATAAACATCTGTGGTGTGTTGAGTATGAGCTAGGCGTTGATGAAAACAATGGCTGTTGGAAGAATTTTGTGGAAAAGATACAGGAGAAAATTTAAAAAGGCAAATTGCTGACAACACCTGTTTTATTTTAGTTGATTGCATCTGTTGTACAAAAGAAACCAAAATGAGTCTACTTGGGGCAGGCTCTTAAGAAAGGAAGAGAATGAGAACAGAAGGTGAACCTATGAAGTTTTTAGAAATTAATTTTATTGGTATACTTTTGATATACATAATGATTATATTCATCATAGGGAATTTGTACCTATACATAATATATCTTGATTTTTCTTTCTCCCCCAATTTCTCTGCCCTCCCTTCAGCCCTTTTTCCCCTTGCTACTTACAAAAACTTTGCTAAGGAGTATTATTTTACTTTCAGCCAAGAAAAGTCTAAAGCAGCAGTAGCCCAAAGCTTTTGGACCAGATGACTTGTAACTTGACTTCCCGCCCCACCTAGTGAATGTCAGGGAGTTGGTGAACCTCCAGAGTTAGGTGCAAAACTATGAGTTTGTACATTTTCTGGGCTTCATGGCTGGCATCAGATTTTCAAGTTGGCAGATTTTCAATGAGAGGTGGTGATCTACTATCAAGATCCACTGACTTCTACTGAAGCCAGCCTTTTGTTCAGGACAGGAGGCTCCCTTATCCATGGTTTCAGTTATCTGCAGTCTTATTTATCCATAGTCAGCCATAGTAGGTACAAATACCAGTAAGATATTTTGAGAGAGAAAGGGATTACATTTAGATAACTTTAATTACAGGATATTCTACTTATTTTTGTTAATCTCAGTGTGTCTCACATATATAAATTATAGATCTGTATGTATAGGAAAAGACATATTATATATAGGGCTTGGTGTCGTCAGCAGTTTTAGGCATCCAGTGGGAGTCTTGAAACATACCCTCCTTGGATAAGAGCGGACATTGGTAGCCTGGCGTGATGGTGCATACCTGTAATCCTAGCAGTCTGGGAGGCCAAAACATGAAGATCATAAGTTCAAGCCCAGCCTGGGCAACTTAGTGACTTAGCAAGACCTTGTCTCAAAATTTAAAAAAAGCTAGGATTAGCTTAGTGTGAAGGTCCTGGGTTCCATCCCTAGTACAAGAAAAAAAGTGGGAGGACTATTATAACCAAGAGAGTGACTCACCACCTGCAGAATGCTTCAGAAACTAGCTTTGAGGTCTGTGGAGTTTATTGGATCATGCATTAATTTACTAGTCAGTTATTAGCAATTAATGTTAGTCCATAAACTCCATGACTGCTTTAATGATTAATGGCATGAGATATTAATAATAACTAATACTATTGATAATGACTAATTATATAATTGATTAGTAACAGAAAAAAAATCTTTGAAGTACCTTTCAGTGCTATTTGGATATTAATGATAATTTAAAATTTCACAAATATAGTGACCATACAATAAATTATGAAGCTTCCCCCAAGGTGTAGACCTCTCTGTGCTGTAGGTAGCTCCCTGTGTACGTCCCTGTTTAGCCCAAGGCAGCTGCCTGCAGGTAATCTGTCAGTATTGATTGAAAAAGGAAATCTCACCATGGCTCCTGTCCTGCCCTTGCTCAGCCAGGCCCTCTGGAAATTAGACTGGAACAAAATTCCATAGCGCTTTTCTTGACTGAACTCAGTGCTTGGGGAGTGGAATTCCAGGACCTTTGATGACCTGCATGCCTTTGGCTCCATTTGGGGAAGTCACTTGTTTCCTGTGGGCCTGCTCTGCCTCCACTGTGGTGGCAACTGAGGGCAATCTGGGGACACATGATGAGATGCAACCCCTGGAGGCTGCTGTGTCTGGGTCCCTGTGTCTGACACCTGTGGTCCTGGCCTCTGTGTTGCCACCTCTCTCTTCTTGTTTCATGTGACACAACAGAAACAAAACAAATGAAATCAGTTGGTATAAGGTCACAGGTCTAGCCCATGAGAGACTAGACAAGAGTGAAAAGAAATTAGACTACAGCCTAATGTAATTAAAAAGGGTTTTGTTAGAAATTGACCATAATAACCCTGTGTGATGATTCTTTTAGAATAGTGTCTGATACATCACCTAGGACATAGAGTTTAAAAACAGAGCTGTAAATGCTTTGTAGTTAATAGCTTTGCATTTCTTGTATCACGTATGCCTGACCCAATGTGCATGATATTCGAGTCCAATGCAAACAGAGGCATAGACAAGACTCTTAGCTGTGGCTCAGGAAATCCATCCAGGAAGACTGAAGGGCATGGTCATCTGCTACCAACAAGCCCATGATGTTCTAGTTCTTGCTGATTGCCATCTGCTGTACCCAAGGGTAGAGATGGATATTCTTGAAGAACTTAGCCTGCAGTCTATACTGATAATCACTGGGGTGATCAGTCAGTGGTTCTTTCCAGGCATGGCTTTGAATGCCAAGAGGAGAGCAGGAGGGATGCCTTCTGTGTTTCCCTCCTGAATTCTAGAGCACCTCCTGCATTGCTGGTAGCACCCTTGCTCACTCTCCACAGAGCCATTATCTGTGAATTTATGAAACCCTCACACCTTGAGGGCTCTGGTCATGGGGAGCCTTCAAGCTGAGTCCCTGTCCAGGCGGGGTGGAGTATGCACTGCACCCATCACTGGGCTCTTGTTCTCTGGCCTGAATGTTTAATTAAGGTGTCATTAAACTGACATCTTGGTGCCAGATATATCTTCTAAATCTCCATTTCCTTCATGCCATCACTCAAGATTCCATAGTTGGCCCAAATTGCCAAACACTCAAGCTTTTTATCCGGATTGTCAAATCCCTTATCTCTTATCTCTCTCCTGCTGTCCAGCCTGTTTGTTCCCTTATTCCCATTTAATTTTTGTTACAAAATATGTTTTATAGGAAATATAGAAGATACAGGTATACTTCAGACCATATGACCCTAAATGCCTGGGATCAGAGGTGTTTCTGATTTTTCATATCTGGAAATACATACACATAATGATAGATCTGGTGTCTGGGACTCATACAAAATTCATTTGTGTTTCTCCTTCACCTTGCACACAGAGCTTGACAGTCGTTTTACACGGTATTTTTAGTGTGCCTGTATTTTGACTGTGACCTGTCACGTGAAGTCAGGCATGGAATTTTCGTGAGGTATCATGTCAGCACTCAAAATTTTGGGTTTTGGAGCATTTTGGATTTCAGATTTTTAAATCAGTGATGCTCAACCTATATTATGAACACTCAAGTACTAACCACTTAGCTTAATGAATAAAAAGAAATGACAGCTATAGGTAAAGCACCTCTAAGTGCTTTGCAGATGGGATTTTGAAGAATAAACCTGGGAGCAGCAATAGCACAGTGTGGCGAATTGCTTAAGAACAAGGGTTTTGGAGTTGGGTAGGCCAAAGTGGAATTCTGGCTCCATATTTACTTGCTGGGCAAATTTAGGAAATCACACAAACTACCAGAGCCCCAATTTCCTGGGGTGATGAAATGAGGGTGATGAGATGGGTTACCTGTACATCTCCTGGAGTTGTAAGGCTTAAGTGAGATAGTAAGTAATATACTCACCCTGATGCTTGTCCCGTGGGGAGCAGCCAGCAAATGGGAGCCATGGTCCCTGCTGGTGGCTGCTGGGCTGACATATCTTGGACAGAGATAGAGCCAGGGGCAGTTTCCTCACCCAGTCTTACTCTGCAGAAGACCCGGGAAGAGGGGAGGGAGGCTCCTTTGTGTATGCTGTGAACAAGCTGATGGGGTACTTGGTGATTTCAGGTGCTTGTTTTGGCTGTGAAGCAGCTATTCCCAGAGTTTGAGTTTATGTGGCTGGTGGACGAAGCTAAGAAGAACCTGCCTTTGGAGCTGGACTTCCTCAACGAAGGGAGGAATGCTGAGAAAGTGGCCCAAATGCTCCAGCACTTTGACTTCCTAAAGGTAGGAGGGTGTGGGCATTAGGTGCCATGGTGGTCTGGTGGGAGGATTGATTCATGCTGTGAATATCTCTCTTATAGATCATCTCCTTCCTTCGTTTTCTTACTGAAGATGAGTGGTTTGTTACTGGTAATACATATTAAAGCCCTTCAAGGCAATTTCCAAAGAAACGCCTAGTGTGATTTTTGACCCGTCAGTCAATTGAACAGATGTTTTATTGTGTAATCTACAACCACAAGGCACCAACCACTACCTGAGAGGCTGTGTGCTGTGGTCTCTGTCTCCATGAAGCACACGGTGATGGTGATGATGGTGATACCTAGCACTACTGTACATCGGTCCTGTTTAAAGCACATGTATATTACTTTAGCTCATTTAATGTGCAGTTTGTTCTGCTGTGACACAACATGTGTTTCTAGAAATCATTATAGTGTGCAAAATTGCATAACAGAACCTGCAGACATTATAGGGGAAATGGGCATGGGGGAAGCACTCAAAAAACATCTGTGACACAGAAAAGAAAAGAAGACAGGAATTAATAACAGTAGCCACTGTTACATATGTTAAATGGCTAAGAAATATATAAGACTACAATGCACGGGCACCTTACCTTGAAATCTTGTGAGTTAATATTTTGAGTTAGTGAAAGGAGGGTCATCTGAAATGGGCCAGGAACCTATAACACCAGATGTTGTGTTTGAAATGTGTGTGTGTTTTGTGTGCTCCCTTGCAAGTGTTCATCTGGCTGCTGTTTTTTTGTGTTCACTGTGTTTCTAGTGGGTGATAGGGCACAGGAGCAGATGCATTGCCAAATTTGCAGTGGAATCATACTGTTCCCTAATACTGTATATCAGCCACACTAGAACAAAATTGTATAATTCTAAAACAACATAGCAGAACTGCACTCTGCAGTAGGATGCACTTCTTTGGGAACAGTATAAACTATTACAGAGTCACAGCTCTCGGTGCCCCATGAGAGATATTGCAGGTGAAGGGGCTGAGGATGCAGAAGCCATTCATGGCCCATCAAGTCAGGGAAGGCTTTGCTGAAGAGTTGACAGTAAAGCTGGTCTTTGAGGACTGTGTTGATGTCCCCATGGGGCAAATAAGGATTGGAATGAATGAAATCCTTGTGGGGGGGGTTGTACCCATTTGTCAGGGGTTCCCTTTGTTATGATGGTGCAGAGGTTGGAGAGTCTTCCTGAGATTCTACCAGAGAGCTTTGCTTTCAACTCTAGAAGAGATGAGTTTTTTTCTCATCACTCAGGAGGCCAGGAGAAGATGGGAGGGAATTCATAGAACCCTCGAGATCTCCATGTGTGAGTTCCAGAGTGCCCAATTTTGTAGACCTCTCGTGGGAAAGGAGGTTGGCTGGGAGTATACGAAAGGCTCTGTTCTGGTTTTCAGTGTTGTGTGGCCTTGGAAGACACCACGAGACACAGAGGTATTGCTTTTACTTCTGCTACCCAGATTAGGAAGGATGTCTCTGTACTAGCCACCTGGGAATCTCAAGGCCAGGTTCATGGGAAGAACAGCTGTGATGATCAGCGCAGCGTCTTGACACACTGATTTTGGTAGAAGGTGAAGTTTAGCCCATCTCCATGCTCCATTGTGGTCACCTGGGGTTTTGATGGTCTCTGTTGTAGTTATGAATGTCTAGATTTCCTTGTGCATGTGAATCCAGAAGTTCAGATGGGATCTGAGAAGGCTCTGTTACCCTTCAAGCTCAAACTACCAGTTAAATGAAAACTGGGTTCTCTTAGACAAACAGTAAATATGAGCTCGTTAGCATAATGCTGTGGGGCCCAAAATATGCTTCTGTGTGCATATCCCATTCCTTACATTCCTTTATCCTACATTTACAGGGCGTTTCCTGAGCCAGTTGCTGTGCTAGGAGCTGGGGGTGGGTCCTTTCCCTGGATGACTTCCCATTTAATGGGGCAGGAACACACAAATGTGTTGGTGTAGTGGAGATTATTTCACGATGTGACAGACACTGTTCTTTGTTTTTGTGGTTCCCAAGATGAAATAATTAGACTTCTAGGAAGTATGGACTGTACAGAGGAGCCAACAATATTTATTACATGCTTTTTCTTTGTCAGGTACGGTGGCATTAGACATGGTGTGAGTACTGTGACAGCAAACCATTCCAGTGGCTGTCATCCCATTTTACAGACGACAGTCCTTGAGTAGAGGTGCTCAGGCTACAACCCAGATTTTCTGACTCCAAGTGTCATGCTCATCTCAGGATTTTCTGCTGCCTTTTACCCGGCAGGGGTGCCCCTCAGAACCAGAGCTCTGAGCCAGACAAACAGAAACATCGCCTTCACTGTTTCCATGGAAACGGCAAAATTGTCCCCTGGCTGGGCCAGCTACCAATGGCCAGACCAAGACATGTAATAATAATGACACAAATTTGTGAAACGAGTATGCCAAATGGGTAAATAATTAATGTACCGATCTGACCTGTTGCCTCTAGAACTGCTCCTAAGACAATGGTGGAACAACGGCTCCTGAGTAATTAATTCTGCCTAAACACACCACAAGGAGGAAGCGAATTTTGCACTGTGAACTCAGTTCGGCTCTTAAAACTGGAGATAGATTGCTTTTGCACGCTGGCACCCCATCACAACATCTGTGCGTAATTACGCCTCAGCAAAGAGTTTACCTCTCATTGTGTGAGGTGTCTTCCAGTGCTTCTGTGGGGTTTAATAACCTCGGCCCCATGCTATAAATCTCTGCGCCTCAGACAAGCACTGAATGCAGATAAGGTGTCCAGGAGACTGGAGGAAGGTGGGGGCAGCCAGGCTGGAACGGTCAAGAAGACAGCTGGCGACGGGGCAGCAAGGGAGAAGCCACTGAGCACTGGGCTCAGGCCTGGCAGAGAGGGGAGTGTTTGTGGCGGTGGGCATGGGAGTGGGCTGTGTCATGGCGGAGTCACTCCAGGGTTTCTTCCTGTGAGGTGAGGAGCCTGGATATCCAGAAACTTTGGACAAACCCCAAGGGATGTGATGCTTTTGAAGAAGCATCATAGTTTCCTAGAATCTTAAAGATTAACAACTACTCATGTATAATTAATAGTTAACAGTTTGATATGCGTTCACTGTGTCACATACTCTTAAAATGCTCTACATGTATTTACTCTTTAATTCTTTCAACAGCCCCACAAGGGAGGTGCCTTTTCTTCCCCACTGGGACTAGGGATTGAACCCAGGGACTTCTCATGCTGTATTTTGAGACAAGGCTTTGCTGAAATGCTGAGTTGCCCAAGCTGGGCTCAAACTTGCATTTCTCCTGTCTCAGCCTCCCAGAGTGCTGGGCTTACAGGCATGTGACACTGTGCTTGCCTGGATGGCGCCATGCTTAACTTCATATCTTCATGGGGAAGCAGGCCCAGAGAGATCAAATCATTTGTCCACCTTTACTCAAGATTTCAGTAAGGGGCAGAAACAAGCTTTGATAGGAGGCGCCCTGGCTTGGTCTCAAACCACTGTGCTCCTTTGCCTTTGTGAAGCTTCATGGGAAAGATGAATTATGGCAAACCATCTGTGGCACCATCAGCCCTGGTGTGGGTCGCAATGCCTGTGATTCACTGTGTGGCAGCCACGAGGGCAGCTGATGTTTGTATGGCAGTTGCTAAGTGTCTGGTACTATACTGCTTCTGCTAAGAGAAGTGGGGCTTATAAAACTGGCTCAGAGGGGTATAAAACTGACTCATAGTCACACAGCTTGTGGGAGGCAGAGTTGCAGCCCCTCCTGTCAGTCTGAAATGGGTCTGCACTCTGCCTTGCTGGGCTTTGGCTGTAGGGGAACAAGCCAAGGCACAGGAACAAAGGAGTAGCATAAGGTCAGGCCACACTGAGGTGGAAGCGTCCCAGAGTCTTGGGAAGAACTTTCCAGAATCTTCTCTTTCTTCAGGTCAGCGTTGGCCTCTGTGTGGGTGCAGGTAGAGCCCACATGTACAGCTCCTGCTCTGCGGCAGGCACATAGACCCAAGGTCCTAAGCCAGGTGTGACACTGCCTCCCAGGGATTTGTGTGGGTTTCTTTGTTTGCGGCGGGGGGGTCAGTTTTCCATTTTGAGCCTTCTGTTCCTTGACAGAAGATGAAGGTGAGGGAGAGATGAAGGTGAGGCCTGGGTGTCAGGTGATGTGAACATTACCCACACTCCAGACCTTCCTGCCCATTCTATGATTAGCACGGCAAGTCACCTTCCTGGCCGAGTGAGGAGCCGTGGGCACTTGGCAGTCAGAGCCCTGATATAACTGTCTATGGCTCTCCCTGAGCTCCCGTGATGAGCTCTTCCATTCCCCACACTTGGTATTTCTGTCATTTCAGACCTGAGCAACAGAGGCAAAGGACACAGTCTGTGGTCAGACTGCACTGGTCACAGCAGAGGGAGCAGGGATGGAAGAGGGTGGCCCAGCACACTGGCCCTGCCTGGCCAGCCCCAAGCACTGCCGCCTTGGGTCCTTCTTCCATGGTAGCTGTCTTGGTGCCCTTCATGTGGGCCCAGGGACCCTTCTGTCTCCAAAGCCCCAGGCGCAATGCCCACACTTAGTTTTCCAAACAGAAGGAAGAAATTAAGTCAAAATGACATCCCTCTCACTTAGAAACCATGAACAAAAATAGTGAATTTACACCCTTTTTTGCTTATTTTGCAATACTAGGGATCAAACCCAAGGCCTCACGTATGCTAGGCAAGAGATTTACCACTGAGCTACACTCCCAGCCCTTTTTATTTCATTTTGAGACATATTCTCAATAAGTTGCCCAGGCTGGCCTTGAACTTTGTATCCTCCTGCCTCGGTCTCCTGAGTAGTTGGGATTATAGGCATGTATCAGTAGGCCCACTCTAGGTTTATTTTTAAAAAGATGCTTTTTGAAAAATGTCAAGCAAGCCTACATTTTAAGTTCAAAGGAACTGACAGTCATACATTTCTCTATTGGCCTAGATTTTCAAATGGCAAAACTCAAAAGAAGCGGCAAAGCAAGAGAACACTTTGGTGTCAGTCACTTGGAGCCAAGGTTCCAACCAGAGGGCTTTGCTTGTGTGTAGCAGCCCCACTAACCCTCAGCACCCCTTCCCGAGTAGAGCAGAAACAATGCTTCTTGCCAGTGGGGAAACTGAGGCATAATGAGTTAAGTGAATGAGCTGAGTGCAAGTTGCCATCAGAATTGGTTGCAGAAAGTAGGAGAGTTTGGGGATTAGGGTGACGGAAGATCTTATTCTCCAAAACATTTGAATTAGCTGGTCTTGTTTTTTACTTGTAAGAGGAATAAGCCCTTCAAAATTTTGGGGAAACAGCATGAGGAAAGCTGCCTGGCTGCAGTGTTCCTGATGGCTGTCACCCACTCAGGTGGCCTTATGACAGCCTTGATATATTCACACCTCTTGCCTGCTCCTGGAGGATCTGTTCTCTTGTTGGCTTTTCATGTTCTCGGAGTCAGAGGGAGTTAGAGAGTTTATCAGTTAGTATTGCAGTTGTTTGCAGATGACTAAAACAACAACAACAACAACAACAAAAGATTTATTTTCCTCACATAGCAGCAAGGTTTGTAGCAGCTGCCTGTAGATTCCGTTTTAGTCGTCTGATTTTCTTAGGTTCTTCTTCATGGTTGAAAGATTACTGTGGCCGTTTCAGAAATTGTATTCATTTTAAGGCAGGAGGAGGAAGTAGAGTAGTTCCATTCTAGAAATCCCTTTTTGAATCAAGAAAATAAAAACTTCCTCAGAATCCCCTAGCAAACTACTCAGATTTGTAGGCCAGAATGGAATTGCATGACCATACCTACCATGAGACCAGTAGGGAGAGCATTCTTTTTCATCTCCAGTGAAGAGGAAGGGTGGGAATAAACATGAGGTTGAGATCCAGCGTTGTGTCCACATGGGGCTTGTAGGAAACTGAGACAGAACCTAGCATCTAATAAAGATTACCTACAGCACTTCTGTCATCTGATGAGAAAGCTGTGGTGGCACGGAGGGTGTTTGTGAGCCTGCAAGGGCCTGATAAGGGTGGAGAGGGGATAGTTCTCTACTCCAATGCCCCGGGTGAGCTGCTTCATGCTTCTCTCCCAAGGCCCAGTGTGGAAAGAATCGAGGGGGTGGGGAAGCCACTTCCTGCCCCCCAAGCAGGAGGGGTCTCTACAGGAGTGGGCAAGTGGGGCTGGGACCCTTCTCTCTGAGTCTGATCTTCCTGAGTCCTCCATGAGGAAGCAGGGCCTGCCATTGCTGTGCCTCACTGTGGTCCTGGCCCTTGACCCCCAGCCTCTCCTGCAGTGACCGGCCCTTTCGTGTTCCAGGTCCCCCGAATCTACTGGGAGTTGTCCACCAAGCGGGTGCTGCTGATGGAGTTTGTGGAGGGCGGGCAAGTCAATGACAGGGACTACATGGAGAGGAACAAGATCGATGTCAATGAGGTGAGCTGGGGCGTGAACTGTGTGTGCAGGACGCGGGACTGTCAGGGTGGGGCCTTGGGGTCTGAAGAATGACCCTTCTAGGTTACCTTGTACAGCTAGCCACACACAGTGGGGTTGGGGACACAGCCCTCCTGGCCTCTCTTGCCTGGCTGAACCGTTGTCTGTCTTCCTTTTTGTCCCATCTGGGTTTCACACAGCTGAGTTGCTACAGGTACAGTGGGGCCTGGACCCTGACCCTTTTGCCCTCCTCTCTCCCTTTCACTGCCCAGGACAAGGTGCCAAGCAGCAGGGAGGAATACCCCAGTAGCCAACTGGGTCTGCTTGGCAGAATAAGGGAAAGTGTGATGTTTATGTCTCCCACTGCCTCCCCTTTGGTCCTTGTACCTTATCTTCTGTTTCCTGGTCACCATGAAGTACTTTCCCCACAATACTATCATTGTTATAAACCTTGTGGGGCTAGGTGTGGGTTTCAGAGGGGAGCCCGACCCAATCCTGGAGCTCGTGCTGGTTCAGCCCCATCCTAGGTAGAGAAGGGGAAGGGGAGAGCTGGGGCAGATTCCCTAAGGCATGCTGGAAATGCAGATGGCAGAGGCCATGGGTGTTACCCCAGAGATTCTGGGGAGTCACTGGAGGGTTTGGGCATGACGGATCAAGGCAGTGACATGCTCTACTACTCTGCTTGGGGCGGGAAGGAATGGGAGGGCCTAGACCCATTGGAGACCAATGCTTGGTCCTACTCACCCCCCGCCCCACTCACACCAGGTGACACATGAGGATGTACACAGGTTCCCAGTGGGGAGGTGGCCCAGGGGAGAAAGCCAGGGACATTGCAGGAAGAGTGGGGGTTGTGAGGCTTGCTGGTGGCTTCATGGCTCTATAAATGGGGACCACGATGGTATGTGCCTCTGAGAGGGGCTGTGAGGACTGCGTGAGTTAGTCATGCAGCTTGCTGGGTGCAGTGCCTGGTGTGTGATTGGTACTGGAGAAGGGTAGCTAGATTTGTTACTGTCTTCATTATTACTACCGTTGGCTCCTGTTCTGTGCTTGTCTCCTTTTATCATTAGTGTTTTTGATTGCCTGACTCCCCATGTTAGACCCTTTGTCCATCATAAACCCAAGAGGGAGTTCATACTGTCTCTGTTTGGAAGATAAAGAATCAGAGACTCAGAGAGGGAAAGTATTTTGCCATTGATTGGAACCCAGGGCTCCCTGACTGCAGTCTCCCTTAGGCTGTGAGAGTAGGGGCTACAGTGAAGTGTGTTGAGCAACTGTGAGGCCTGGCTGCCGCTGCCTCAGCTGGCTCAGACCTTCAGGTAAAGCTGTTGTCCCCCACTTCAGGACATGGAGCTCCAAAATCCTATTTGAGGGGTGTGGCTGCCAAGACACAGAGATCACCCTAACCCCTCCGCCCATAGGCTATCTTCCATAAGTTCTGCTTTCTGGAGGGACAGAATGAGAAAAGGAGTAATTCAGAGAGATCTCTTGTGGTCACTCTGCTAGTAACAAACGGGCTGTTCCTTCCTCTGACTCTTTTTCTTATTCTTCCTCTTCCTCTCCTCTTTCTCCCATCCTCCTCTTCCTCTTTCCCACTTCTTTTCTTCTTCTTATTCCTTCACATTGAGCTGCATCCCAAGCCCTTCTAAGTTTTCATTTTGAGACAGGATCTCGCTGGGCATGAACTTGAGGTCCTCCTGCTTAGCCACCCAGAGTGGTGGATTACATGTGTGCACCATCACACCCTGTAAACGACTGGAGCTTCTGGCTCTTCTCTCCTTGCCCCTGGCTCCTGGGGTGGTACAGGGCAGGGGTCTGGGCAGGCGACAGAGTCTTTGGCTGAAATGTGTGGAAGGGATGTGGTGGCAGGGCTGGGTGGTCACCTCTTTTGCGGGGAGCAGAGGCTCTGCCCACTCATGAGGAGAGACTGGAGGCCTCGACTTGCCACTACCCAAAGCACTATCTGAACGAAACCTCTTGCTTTCTAATTTAAGGCAAAGATCCTCTCATCTTGTTCATAGAAACATTTTTCTGTTTTTAAGAAAGGAGCTCTAAGGGTTGCTGTAAGGACTACCTGAATTAATGCTGAAATAGCAGCACAGTGTGTGTCGTGTGGTGTATCGTAGCTGGACCATTGTTGTTTTTAGTGCTGTTGTTGGTGTCCCTATTGTTTCTTCTTCTGCCTCCATTTATCATTAACACTCATCTGCTGCCTTAGCCTGTGCACCTGGCCCCCTGTACGGATAACCTTCAGAGGGAGGGCTGTAGTGTACATTTTGCAGACCAAGAACCAGAGACTCAGAGAGAGAGGGTAACATACCAAAGGTCACCAGTCTCAAGGGCACACTTGGTAAGTGTTCATGTGGATGGACTGTGTCATCACCATCCAGGTAAAGATGCAAATAATTTCTAGGAAGCTTCCTCGTGCTCCCTCCCAGTCAGTATCCCCGGTGCCACTGCAACTACTGCTGTTCTCACTTCTGTCACCATAAACTGCTTTCAGCCATCACTGAATATGATAAATGGAATCTTACAGTGTTGGGTCTGGTGTCAGTCAGATCAGGGTCTTCTTTGGAATGTGTGTTCTGTTCCACTGGTCTATGGGCTGTTCTTGCAATAAGGCACTGTCTTAATTTCTTTTTTTTTTTTTCTTCAGTGAGTTTATTGGTACATTTTGGGTATACAGTACAGTTACATTCATCATTGGGATCCTGTACCTTTACATGACAGGTCTTGGTTCTCATTTTTTCCCCTTGTCCCTGCCCTCCCTTCACTCCCTCCTCCCTTCCCTATTTACAAACACTTTATTTCCATATTGTCATTTTCTCATATTTTTTTCTTGTCCCTTATTTCCTTTCCCCTGCCCTTCCCACTTTCCCTACACCTTTAGCCCTTTTCTTCCTATTTCACATTGTCAATTATACCATTAGTATCTTATGTACAATGATGGTTTTTCACACCAGAGGAACTATTTGGTATTTACACATGTGTGACTTACTTATTTCACTTAAGAGTATATCCTCAATATGTGTCCATTTTCCTATGAATGACTCTAATTTTTCATTCTTTATGGCTGAATAGTATTCCCTTTTATAGAAAAACCACATCTTCTTTATCCAGTCTCCATGTCTTAATTTCTTAATCCCCTGCCCCAGCTTCTAGGCTGCACATGACTTGAGGAGGTCTTTGGTATTCAGTGATGATGTCATTAAATTCTGACTTCTGCAGAAGGCTGAGGCAGAACCATGGGCCATGTGTTTTACTCTGCTATTGCTGACCACCAGTAATGGTGGGAGTGGACCAGGAATAGGCTAAAGATTAATCTATCATGTCTCTTACCAACTGGCATCAAAGCCCCAGGCCTTGGAGAAGACTAATGGTGCTGAGGATGGAAGACTCCACATTCCAGAAAAGCTCAGATGGACCTCAGAGGTTCTATAGGCTCTCTAGGCCCAGTGGACTCAGCAAGCCAGTCCTGGAGTGACTCTGCGCTGAGGACAGCATGGCCTGGATGTGAGCATTCCTGGGGGAGGGCAGTGGAAGTGCAAGGGGGAGGAGCAAGGGGTAAAATCTTACTGTGCTTCCCGGTGGTGCTGCGGCTGGTGGCATCTTGTCTGCCATGAGCCATGATTCTCCTGGAAGGTGGCTCTAGAAGGAACCTCTGTCAATGGCTCCAGAGCCCTGAGACCCCTTGTTGAGTCAACCCCACTCCACTGGGAAGAGACTGACCACCCTGCAGCACCTCAGCTTGTGAGGACCTGCAGATCAGTCTGACTAGCCAATTCCTGATAGACTCAGGAGGAAACACCAGGTTAGGAGGTAAGAGGTGTTGGTTCAAGCTCCATCCCTGCAGTGCTGTGCTTTGTGACCTCAGGCAAATCTCCTCTCTGGTCCCCGGTTTCTCATTGAAGCTGTTGGATTAGATAGACTCTAACTAAGGGTCCTTTCTATTGAAATATTTTACAGAACAGTGATCTTCACTTCTGTGGATGCTGAGACTGGTTCATGAACCATCTATTTCAGAAGCACAGAGTTTATTCAACATTGCAGATTCCTGGGCGCCACCCCAACTTAGCAGTAGGAATCTGGGGTGGGAAGAGTTGTAGAGGGTTGCGAGGATCTGCATTTGACTCTCCAGGTTGCTCAGACATTCTCTGAAGCTCAAGACCCTCTGTCCCCATCCCTCATCCTGTCATGAAGCCAGGCACCCAGGACACCCAGGTGAGCCGTCAGAGTGGACCTTGCTCTTTGTACCTCCAGGCATGAGGTAGCCCTGCCAGGTGTGCACACCTGTGGCGGAGCATGGGCCTTGGAAGCCAGCAGCCTGCAAGAGCCCTCATTTGTTTGTGTCTCTGAGCCCAGAAGCAGATATTACTGAGGGCCCAACCTGGTGATCATATTTGCCAGTCACTTTAAGAGCTGGTGACAGCAGCTGTCACTGATCTCATTAAAAGTAAAGGTCGTGCTGGAGTCCGCTTTTCCAGGTTGGAAGGAGCCTCCTCAAGCCATAGAAGCACTATTGATTGCAGGACCTTTATCGAAGGTTAATTGGATTTCAGTGAGTGTGTGTTTAAGACCCTGCTTGGGCTAAGGCCCAATTTAATTGCCGTGAAATTAGCCAAGAGAAAGGTGATAGAACGAGGTATAGGGGCAGCAGGGACAGATGACTGCAGGCCTCCTGGGCACACGTGCCTGTGTCTGCACACTGGGAGTAGGTCCAGGGAGGGTTGCCATGATGTGTGGCAGGAGATTTCTTAGAGACTGGGTCCTGCGCAGGAAGGGTAGAGGGTCTTGAAGTCAGGGGACCTACCATTCGCTGGTTAGGTGCCTTTGGGCGAGTTACGTAGCTGTCTGCTCATCTGCTTAGTTGGAGGGATAACTACTTACTTCTGAAGACCACGGTGTGAACTTTGTAAAGCTGTAAGGCTCTGAAAAGAAGTTATATATAATTCATAATTCATTAGGGTATTGTTCACAGAGGCATAGCTTCCTCCATAGATTCTCCA